ACCATTTGAACGGTGGAGTTATCCATGTCTATAATTCAACTTGGGCCCAAAAATGTCTAAATCTGCCACTGAAAAACTATTTTGATCAGCAGCTCCCCAAAACAACAAAGCTCACGTTTAGGAAATAAATGTCTAATCACAACATCATTCAGGCATCACCACCGCTGTTAACAGATATTTGTGATTCCCATAATCCTTTTGAATGCAACTAATCATGTTCTTGTTGAGCTGCATTTGCTTTTGAGTCAAGCTGTTTGAAGTCACCATCAAGAGGTCTGTTTCTCCATTGATTTTAGATCAAACTGTCTTTGATGATGTCCATTTGTTGCTCTCAGATGCTGATAATCATCTCCATTCTTAGATCAGACTCTGCAGATGGAAGTGCAACAAATAAGAAGAAAGTTGTTTTCACAAACAAATTACTGTTTAATTTGATCAAAAATAGACAAATTTGGAGAAAAACTCTCAACGAGTAAAACTGTGAAGTAGAACGTAAAAGCTCTTTCACCCAGTTGTTTAAATGCAGCACACCTTCCTATTGGCCCCGTATTGTTTCATTCTTTGACAATAGATTCAGTTACATAATGAATCCCATCCATATCAAAGGCTAACCCAGGGGAAGACTGGCCAGCCTCCAAGCCCATCAGAATGGGCCAAAACCACATGGGAGAATAAACTCTTCCTTATCCTCCCCCTCGCTCTCCACCCTGCTCTTCATCATACCACAAACGCTATCAAGTGTGAGAGGAAGGACATGTGTTGCTGATCATGTGTGTATTAAATCAATATTGCGATGGTCACCTAATATGTTGCGGTGTACTTTGTGATTCGACATGGCTCTGAAAGCAGAAAAAGTGCAGCATCCCAGAAATGCTTTCCTCATGGTGGAATGCTCCATGGCCTTGTAAAAACGGACTTCTCGAGGGACGTTTGTGCACCAGGAGGGTAAGTGGGTTCTGATGGGCTCTGCTGTTGTGTCTGAATCACCATGTTGTGCTGGGCAACAAGACTCGGTGCTCCCACTGAGTGCACTCTCACACACGACTCTGCCAGCACCAAGTGACATTTAAAACTCTGGGCCTGCTGTCCCTGCTGTACGTTCTGCCAAGCAGCTCTGCAAACACACACACACACACACACACACACACACACACACACACACACACACACACACACACACACACACACACGCACGCACGCACGCACACACACACACACACACACACACACACACACACATGCACACGTGCACACACAGGCATGCACACACACGCATATACACGCACGCACACATACACACATGCACTCACACACACACACACATGCACACGTGCACACACACACGCACATGCGTGCTCGCACACGCACACACACATGCGCACATGCACACACAGGCATGCACACACACACACACACACATGTACACGCATGCACATGCGTGCACACACGCACACACACACATGCACTCACACACACATGCACACGCGCGCGCACACACACACACACACACAAATACACACATACGTATACACACACACACACACACACACACACACACACACACACACACACACACAGAGAATACCTTTTTTTCCCGCTACCTGAGACTTTCCAGGCTTCTGCTTGTTTATTTCAGGTCCAGGCTCTCAAAACTCTTTCCCTTCCATCTAAATATCTCCACCTCCTTTTCCTTCGTTCATCAGGAGCATTTTGTGGCAAATGTGCATCCCACACTTGAAATTCCAGGCTTTTGCAGGACTCTACATGCTGCTGGCTCTGTCTCCATCGCTTTTCTGTCTCGTTGGCTACAAAGGAGTTCAGTGTGTGTGCATGCGTGCATGTATGTGTGTGTGTGCGTGTGCGTGTGCGCGTGTGTGTGTGTGCGCGCGTGTGTGTGTGTGTGTGTGTGTGTGTGTGTGTGTGTGTGTGTGTGTGTGTGTGTGTGTGTGCGCGTGTGTGTGTGCGCGCGCGCGTGTGTGTGTGTGTGTGTGTGTGTGTGTGTGTGTGTGTGTGTGTGTGTGTGTGTGTGTGTGTGTGTGAAAGTCTGTAATGCTAATTCATTGCTCTTAATGACATCAGCCATGAGAGATTCCATCCTTTACATAATTCAAAATGAATTTGTTTATGTCTAGGGTGTACTGGCTTCCACTGATTTAGAAATCAAAATGTGTAAATATTCATTTTTATGGTTTTAATGGCTTTTAAATGACATATATACTTTATAATGCCCGCAGAAGCAGAATCTTGGTCTTTGAAATGCATTTGTTTCTACACATCTTGATTATTGAAGGGGATAACAAAACGGCTTCAGCAGGAAGAAAGGCTGGAAATGAACTCCTTTCACCTAAAGATGCACAAAGTACACGATTATGGAAGGATGCCAAAGTTCAACAAAAGCAGAAAGCTGTGACAATGAAAACACAGCCTTGGTTCCTAATCAACAAGTCCTAAAGCTGTGGAAATAAGATGAGCAGCTATGCTGCCACCCCATTCACAATCAAGATGTGCCAACAAAAGTGAAAAGGAGAGAACAAATGAAAAAAGAACGTGAAAGACTGTGGACAACTGTTCAGGGAACTGAAAATCACCAGATGTCAAAGTGTTTTTTTTTCACTTTCTTTTAAAGAAAAAATTAAGAACACTCCACCTGTGGTGAGCTATTTCACTTGTTATCATTTTACACAGCAAACAAAGCCAGTTGTAGTGTTTGTTGACCAAAAGATTTTATTCCATTTTGTTTCACAGGGATTCAGATGTGCTCTTTAGTAAATAAAGAATTTATAATAAAGTTTCTGAAAGCAGAAAAATTACCCTGACCTTCTGCGGTGCAGTAATGCCTCCCATCTGGCTGGTAAAAGTCAAACAAATAATTTTATATAAACAACTAAAATAACTGAGATTACACTGGGATTTTAATAATTCCTCTAGAATGGATTTTATTCTTCTTTTTTTTTTATTCAAATCTGATAAAATGTAAAATTTAATGTTTTATAAAAACAAAGTTTTCCAAAAGCTTTAACTGTTGATCCTTTCTGAATTTCCTGAAAACACCAATAAATCCAAACAGATGGCTTCTTCACTGATGTGTCAGAAAACATGTCTAACTTCAGGTAACCGGAAGAAACATTTCTTTTGATGTCCTCACAGGAGACGGCGGTGGAATGCTTCCTGCATGTCGTGACCTTTGTGCATCAGTGACGTGGTGATTGGTCCGGTCCATGAGGAGTTGTTCTGTCTGCTCCTTGTTTAGTCTGGCTTTGTTTATAATTTACCAAAAAAAGAACTGAGGATAATAAAAAAAAAAAACTACACGGGCTACAGGAAGCCATTTAGTCAAATTTAGTTGGGGAAAAAAATAGTCTGGCCGTGTTTACCGTAGCAAACAAAAGGGTAAAGGGGTGAAGCTGGGGGTGTTCTTTCAGATGTTGCTTCTGCAAGCCATTTTGACTTTGTCCTAACACGTGCAAACAATCAACAGTCGCAAAATTTACATTAAAATGTTCTGATGCAGAAAACATTTGTTTCAAGTGTGCAAGTCAGCATTTCATTTTGTCACAGTGAAGGAGTGTAAGCCGCTGTAGATGGCAAAAAAATGTGATAAATGAATCAAAACAGACCAGATTAGATTATTCTCTCTTACCTATTTACTGGCGCAGACAATCTTGTCAGTATAAGACACTGGCTGAACGAAAAACCTCAGAGCATCAAGCTGAAAGAGCTGAGATAGACTCAGCAGCGGGCAATAATTGTGGTTCGTGCCCTCTTCATTTCACTTGCAGATCAACCTCGCATTCCTTGGGTTTCACAGATCCCAGATTCCCCGCTGCTCAACAAAACCTGCCCTGAGTCAGCCGGACTCATTAGACGGGATGAGACGCTGCCAGGTTAACGGGACGTGGTCAGGTGGATCTAGCCCGTTTTCTTTTTTCAATAACATTCTCAGAGGACAACTTTGGACAGCTAGACTGTAGCAGGGCCTCTAAACATCTACTCAGTGTGAAATTTTGTTTTAGTATCCTGAAAAATTCTAAAGCAAAGTAAAAAAAATAATAATTTCTCAACAGATTTTTCTTTCACGTGTTGTGCATTGAATAAACATCTCTGATATGTAGTTTTTGTTCTGTTTTCTTTCACCGAGCTTCCAGGAGTCCAAATGAGAAACTGTGGATGAGTTCCAAAGAAACAAGACCCAAGCACCCTGAAGAGCCTTTTTGCATCACTTTTATTCACTCCTGTTCTTTCGAAAGAGTTCCTCCTGAAAGTATTTGGCAAACACTTGTGGAAAAAAAAAGAGTTTGAGGGAAGAAAAACAACAAGTCGTTCTTGAGCCACCCACACCCCATCTGCTGTGGTATTATCTTCTTTTATTATCTTCAGATTATGAGCGCTGGTATTATTTCTGCATTTCAGTTTGGTGGTCATTGTGGTTGTTTTTCTTGTTTTTTGTTGATTTTTTTCTTGTTTTGTGGATTGTTATATGAGACAGCGACAGGGATGAGTGTGTGTGTGTGTGTGTGTGTGTGTGTCCTCCCCCTCTATGTGCATCTAATCATCCATTCAGAACCCTCTTAATGGCTCGTCAGTTACCCTTGCCCTTCCATTTTCTGTCCAATTAATTCCTTTCTGGCTCTCCGGATAAAGGGACACAACGGGGCCCCTCCACAGCATAATGAATCATTAAAATTCAGCAGCGCGGCCCTGGCACTTGGCTTCTCCCTGGACTGGTTTGGGACGGTGGATTGGCATGCATACCAGAGCCAACATGGGCGTTCTGGACCAGAGGAGAGAGGATCTCTCCTCACTCATTCCTTTCACGTTGGGCTTTTCAACAAAATCTTAAACTGACAAGTTTAGTGGAAACGCTGAGAAGCTTATAGTAAACGCCCAATGTGAGTGATAAAAGCTGAAAAGATTCAGAAAGCAAACCTAGTAGAGATGAAAGGCGATGACTGCTCTTGTTCGAGCATTTCTCGGAGAATCAAAGGATGGAAAAACAAAAATACAAGACAGGTATTTTTTTATTAAAAAAGAACGGCCAGCGGGTGAGTTAGCTGTGCATGTGCGAGTGAAACGAATCCAGAAAAACAACCTTTTTCACAGCCTTTTCCTATTCTTTAAGTCATACACCAAAATGATATACATAACACAGGTTTGTGGATAAAACCGGAGCATTCTTGTTTGAAACGTGTTACAGAACAACGCTGTCAGGAATGAAGTCAGGTTAAGAGCACCAGTTAACTGTCAGAGGGTCTGGATTGCGTGCAGCCTGAAGTTAGTGAAGAGTCCATTTTCAAATACTGACAATAAACATTAGAAGGCACAAAATCTTTTTTCTGATAAGACTGCAGCAGAGAGTTGGCACTTTGATGGTTGGGGAAATAAATATGGGCACACACTCAGTTCAATTCAAACAGTTGGATAACGTTTTAAGGAAATAAAAACTTTAAAAAAATTGAGCATCATTTGATGAGCATAGAAAAACATCTCATGCATGCATCTGCATGTTACCTCTCCACGGTAACACACACGAATACACACACGTTCACATATTCTTGTGTTTTTCATCGACATGTACAGGAGGTCCAGCTGACGTGTCACTCAGCATGTGGTGTTATTTTACCCCAGTTCCTTTAAGCCCGGATCATGACTAATCGCAATTTGCCCAGCGTGGATTTCAGACACCTGTTCTGTCCTCTGCGAGTCTGTTGGTCCTGTCTGTTTGATAGAAACTTGGAATGGATTTGTTTCTGAAAACTGGAATATTTAAAAACCAAAACCTGCTCTGAACTTTGCTCCACTCCATTTACCCTCTTCCTCTCATCAAGTCAGAAAAACAGTACTCTAAAATAACCAAAACCCACATGTTTAATCTACTGAAAGAAAACTTCATAATCCATGAACATAAATACGTAATAAGACACTAGAATCAGAGCCGGAACCATTGATGCAAATAGTGTGCTGCAATATTCCTCTGGCCAGCAATCCTGCTGCAAGTTCACATGACAGATCCTGTGTGTGTGTGTGTGCACGTGCGTGCGTGTGTGTGTGTGTGTGTGTGTGTGTGTGTGTGTGTTTGGGCCAAACCTTCTTTTTCCTCCACTCTGTTGTGCATTAACAAGTTTGAACGGAAAAGAAATAAAGAGTATGTACGGGATGTCGGCGATGCGTCCTCATGGAGGAGTTTGGCTCACTTAAAAACAAAATTAGTCTTTGTGTAAAAAGTCTGTAAAAGCGCATCAATAATAGAACTATGTATAAAATCAGCAGGCACTTTTTTCTTGTGTGTGTGTGTGTGTTCAGGATAGTATGGGTTAGCCTACTAGCCCCCCTCCACCTTGGCTTGGTGTCCTTCATAAGTAGTGCATCAAACTGAACGAGTCTCTGGTGCAAACTGGTTCCCATTAAGGCCGGGACAGAGTGGTGTAGACGGGCTGTTCCCAGCTGGAAGCGGTGGGGCTGTGGGCCGGAGCCATGGACAGACTGTTGAGGATGGGGCTGCTGTAGGGCCGTCTGGATGAGTGGAAGTAGGGGTACTGGTAGAGGCTGGAGGGGTAGCCAGAGTAAGGGTTGTAATAGTTAGAGCTCTGGAGGTCAGTATAGTCACACTGGGAGCTGGAGAAAGAGGCCGAGGCAACTGACGTGGCTGAGGTGGGACAGGCCTGACTGCTGTAGGAGCTGTAATCAGAATGTGATGGTGACCCATGGGAGTGCTCGCTGTAGTGGCTGGGGCTGAGCTGCTCCGTTTTTATATGGAGACGGTGCTGGCTGACCTCGCTGGAGGAGGGAGAGGACGAGGAGACGGCGCACTTTCTGTTCCAGGATGATCCGTTGCTGCCTGCATGGCTGTAGGACGGAGCATAGGAGCCGCTGGGCCCAGGAGCCGTCCCATGACTGTGGTCGGAGGAGGCTGAGGCATGGCCGTTCAGTGGCAGATACTGGTCAAACTCGTGGACGTCGAAGGTCTCCATGTTGCTGATGACATCAGTGCTGAGCTCAGAGATGTCAACGTTGCTGAAGTCAATGTTTTGCCTGCTGCTGTCAATGAGACGACGACCTTCATGCTTCAGATCCTGCTTCACTCCATGGTGCAGGTCAGTTTTGGGGGTTGTGGGGGGTGTAGGTGGTCCATGTGGCTGCCCTAAAAAGAAAACAATAGAAATAGAGTTAGTCCCAACATAACAAAGTAACAGATTCAACCGAGACCTCCAAAGCTGTTGAACTTCAGCCTTTTTATGGTGGTGGGGGGGTAAAGCTACCTGCATGATCAGGGTGGTGATGTCCGTCAGACATCCCTGCCAGTCCTCCCATTCCTGGCTCTGCTTTATACATATGATGTGCCAGTTCAGCCCCTGAGTCAGAGTCGCTCTGGCCTGGCTTCACGTTCTTCCTCCTCCGGGGTTGGTACTTGTAGTCTGGATGGTCTTTTTTGTGCTGAACTCGGAGTCTCTCTGCTTCATCTACAAACGGTCTCTTCTCGCTCTCTGAAAGCAAACTGTTGTGGAGGAAATGTTCAGAGTCTTAAAATCGTTGTTAGGATTTGCAAAAATAACATTTAGTAAAGCTTATTGTTGGGTTTCATCGACTCAAAAGTAAAAACAGGTTCTTTGAACAGTTTTCCAAGAACCGTTTTTTAAAGGTATTTAAACAAAAGCAGCTCTGCAGTTATTTTTCTGTGATGCCTTCTTACAAAAATATTTCACGGTTTAAATGTTCTTACCGCCAGAGTTTGCCCAGCGTCTTGCTCAGTTCTGCGTTGTGCAGGTGCGGGTACTGATCGGCCAGCTTTCTGCGGGCCGCCTGCGCCCACACCATGAACGCATTCATGGGTCTCTTCACGTGAGGTTTATTCTTCATAGATCCGTTCCCTCTCACCGGCATGGGGACCAAAGACCAGTCATACCCCTTGAGGACCTGAGACACCGCGTCCCGGATGCAGGCTGGAAACCGCTCATCGTCCTCGGAGTCCAGTTTCTTGCTCAAACTGGCAAGTAGAGATCCGTGCCCGTCGGAGCCCGTCGGTGAGGACGGCGCATCAGAGTCAGACTCGTCCTGGGACATGGAGCTGTTCGTGCCTGATGGGCTGCACGGCTGCTCGGTCACACACTTGTCGTGCTCTTCGGTCATTTTTAACATAATTTGTTCAGTCCAGCAGAGATCAATATCCGTTTTTTTTTTATTAAACGAAAAGTCCTCAGGAGAATCGAGCGCGCAGCAGAAGAGTCACTGCGCCTTTTACGCACGGTGCGCCACAGGGAAAAATCCTTGAGCCAGTTGGGTCCGCTGCTTTCCTGTTTGTCTTGTTTGGTCTAAGCTGCCATTAGAAGAGCGGCGGCCGAAGCTGTGATTCACTAAATGAGCTGAGGAAGTACAAGTTACTGCAACTTGAGTTGGACTTTTAAATGAGTCTCCCCACCTTCCGCCTATGATTGGCTGAGGAGGATCAGCACTTCCTCCTTATTGGCCGAGGGCTTAGTGTGGGGTTTGTTATTATAATGATTTTCTTTTGCGTGTTATTTCACTGTTTTCTGCAGTGGAACCCGCTCTCTTAATGTTACTGCGCACAAGAAAAATTAGTTCAAGGTTGTATTCGTTTGGCATAGAACCAGGCCCAGAGATGAAAGAATAAAACACTGAAATATAATGACAGAAACGTGTTTACAGACATCTGAGAATAAATAATATTCTTTTAGGTTATCATCTGTGAGAGGGCATTAATTAACTTCTCATAACTGAACAGAACTCCTTTTCGCGGGAAAAATCACATGAAAACGCAGATATTTCTGGACAAAAGCAGTGAGACATTTAGTTTTATTTGAGATTAAATTAGTCAGATCAGAGAATTTTAGGTGCGTGAAAATATTAAACTGCTTTAAAGTAAAGTGAATTTTTGCAAGTTAAGGTGCCTCAGACCTTCCCTCCAACAACACAAACATGGTGGCAGTGCTTCTCAACAGGAACTGTTTTCAGTGTTAGTCCTCCTTTTAATATTTCCCTGTAAACCTTTTAGTTAGAATCAAAATTTGAATTTAAACAAATGTTTGTAAGTTTAGAGCTTAATCTTATATTGTACATATGAGAAAACAAATTAAGCTCAAACTTCACAGGCCTTTACGAGCCTCAAAACTTACAAACCTGAACTTTTAGGATGAACTGGTCAGGAACTCTGAGGGTTTTCAGCTCTGCGGAAGCACACATGACCGTAACAATTCAAATTCAATTCAAAGATACTTTATTAATCCCAGAGGGGAATTAGACCTTATGGAGAAACAGAAGATAAATATTGAATCACGGTCCTTGTTACTACTGTCATTGTTCACATGTGGGATGATTTTCATCACTTGCCTCCCTGTGATAAGACAAGGTAAGTTTGTGCTGGGTCGCAGTTTGCCTTGCTCCGTGCACGCTGCAGGTGTCTAAGGGAGGAGGACAGGAGATGAAAGAAACTGCTGTTAGAGTTTACTGCAGGAGAGGTGATGGAACATGTGCTAAGGTAAAACTCTGCTTGTGCTTCTACACACTTGTTAAAATAAGACAAACTCAAACAGCATCTTTGCATGGACAAAGTTCTGTTTGATCTTTCTGGAGGCGCCAGGATTTTAAATATTTTATTTATAACCTGGAAAGAAAAAAAAATCTGCTTACTTGGTCAGTGCAACACTCTTCCTTTCTAGCAGCTGCTGTTAAAGCAGGTCAAGTTCAGTGTGTGTGTGTGTGTGTGTGTGTGTGTGTGTGTGTGTGTGTGCTTGCAGTCAGGACAAGAACTTATTGTCCAGCATGAATGTTTCTGGCTTCATTCTTGTCCTGCAAACTGAAAGTGTGCTCCTGTCTCAGAGCATTTATCACACAGAAACATGGAATAACAGGAATTATCTTAAACATGTTTTTAGTGATTCTTGATAATTTTTGTTAGGAACTCTTTTAGAGAACGCTTTACGCTAATTTTATCTTATGGCATGCATTTTTTATTGCTGTATAATGTCATTCTGTGTCTGTTGCTCTTCACAGTGCAGTGGTTTGTTAGAAGGCATTATACAAATAAAGTTTTATTATTATTATTATTAGTAGTAGTAGTAGTAGTAGTAGTAGTAGTAGTAGTAGTAGTATTTATGACAGCTTGCTACATTTTGTGATATTTCTGACATTCGATGGTAACTGCAAACCGAAACCCCTCAGCAGTTTTTCCAGTTTAGTTTCTGTAGACATGCAGGTCCTGTAGGAGCTAAGGATCTGTTTTGTTTTGGGGTCAAACAGGAAGAGACACCAAAACAACGGCAGACCTCCCCACTTCATGCCTCCTTGTATTGTGGGGAATAATCTCTGGCCATAATCAGTGGGCTCTGCAGGACTTTACATTAGAATAGGAAGGAGCAACAAATCCGAGGTAACCACACGTGGACCGTAAGTGTCCCTAGGACCCAAGGAAGGTTTTAATTTTCCTATTTTTTTGTGAGAGGCATCTAAAAAGGAAGATGGTGGTAAGGCTTTTCAGATCTTTTTCAAGGGACTCTTGAGCAGAGCATGTTAGTCTATTTCTCCAGGGCCCAAGTCACTTCTAGCGTGCATGTAAATCATCCTCCCTGGCTTCTAATGTGCATAGTGAATTAAATTATGCAGTCACCCACAGGAATCTTGCTCGCTTTGGTCTTTGCTTCTGTGTTCTAATATGGTTAGGCATATTTCTTTACTCTTGCCAAGTTTTGGGACAAAGCATGTAGAGCAGCACCAGAGTTTTCTCCTGAAAGGAGCTCCAGATGTGTAGCGATAAAGTGGATCTGATGAGAACTTCATCAGGATATCAAACTCATGTGGATGAGAGATGCTGCGGATGTAAGCCGAGTGTGCTGCCTGTTTCACAAAAGGATTCCACTTTGCATTTTTGGGCGGGGTGTCACTTTTAGAATCTGCACCACAAGAAGTTCGACAGAATTTCTATACAATTTCCCACATGAACAACAGCTGCTGTCTCCATGGTGACCACAACACCCTAACCCAGCCATATCTCTCTGATTATACACTTTAAGTCTGCATAAACTTGGTGAACTGCAAAGAGTGGCATGCCCTCCTCCTCACCCAGACACCCCCAGCCGCTGCGTAACCACATGTGGAGCGGGCTCCCGGGCTGCTAACAAACCCCGTTTCACCCTCTGGCCACATCAACCAGGCCATGTCTTTCTTCGGTTTCACACACTGAGAAAGAACGTAATCAGGGCAGAATTTACAGTTGCAGCAAGTACAAGAGGAAGGATTAGATTCTGTTTCAAAAAGATGTATTTTTTTTGTAATCCAAAAAGCTTGCACCTCACACAGCCACGGGGGAGTCGTGGGACAGGATTTGTTACTAGATGACTTTTCCAAGTTCACAGTCATATTAAAGCATCAGAGATGGGAGCAAACACTCAGCTCCTCTCTCCTCCCGTGACAGATGACGCTTTCCACTTGGGTTTAGTGCCAGATGTAGTTTCCACGTTGTCCACTTAGAAAGGTCGAGGACCTGAGGATGTTTGACTCCTCTGGTTTTAATCACTGTCTGACCCCTGTGACAGCTGCTGTGTGTTAGGACCTCACGTTGACATTTGACCCCAGGGTTTCCCAGATTAATTCTATTAAAACACCATAATGAGAGCTTCACTGGAGCAAAGGCAGGTTTCATTCAGCAGATTTACTGAGGTGCAGAGGAGAGGGGCTTCAAAAGATTGAAGGGAAATGTTTGAAATAGACGGAAGTAATTCTTCCAAAATATCTCTGGGTGTGTTTGGCCATCATCCACTTGGATTTTTCTGTCAGAGGTTTAAATAACTCAAGTGTTTCCAGATTACTTGTTGTTTTCTTCTATGATGTGTGACAATTGTTACTTATTCAAAAGCTATTTTAACAGTTTAGATTAGGGATTTTTACAGTACATGGGCCCTGGACATGTGAGAAGAGATTTCTGTCTCAAGTCAAGGTAGTATCTTGAGCTCACACAATAATCTGTGTTGTAGCCAAAACAGTGTCCAGTGTGCATAGGAAAGAACATTTGCCTTTTATTTGTATTTTTCCCCATTTGGGGCTCAGATATTGTTAATCCTTATTGTCTTATGGAAGTTTGTTTTAGAAATACTGATTTTAATTACGTTGTGATGTACGTTCACCAAGCAATTCTTTTAAATCAGCTATCACCAGCTGGCTAGAAGATAACTTCCTTCAGTTAAACTCTGAAAAGACTGAATGTCTGATCATTGCCCCTAACCCCGGGTTTCCACGGGAGCCGTCAGCAGCACGTTAGGTTGGTTTATGCTTGACGCGTCCGCGAGGTCCGCATGGCTCCGCGCGGAAAAGTTGCGTCATTTTGCGTCATTTTAACAACCACGCCCCTCCACCGCGTCTCCGCACGGCCCAAGATTTCCGCAACGCGCACCTCGGAAAATTTCTAACCACGCGGACGGTCGGACGCGGAAAAACATGGCGGACCGGCACGGCAGAGGTTCGTAAATACAGACATTTGTATGATTCAGCTCTCAGAGATCACCGTGATCAACATGTTGTTAATAATTCTTGGAGAGAAATAGCTCGCACTGTCGGAAAAGACGAGAACGCTGTTAAAAATGCTGAAATGCCATGTTGTAAACAGTAATTTCTACTTCTACTATGGTGTAGTGTTGGATGCATGCCGTAGAGCTCCATGCTGCCCCCTACAGTTTGGGAGAATATTGGCTCACCGCAGAGACAAGCCGCACAAACCATAAACGCTGCGAGTTGTGAAGCGCGTTCCAGCCGCGAGCCGCATCACTGCGCGGAAAGTGAATGCGTCAAGCATAAACCAAGCTTTACTGCAGCAGCACGTCTTGCTCGCGTAAGCTGCTGCTTGGCCCTTCCCACGAGACGCGAATCAGCAGGGGAGCAGCTGTCACCGACAGAGCACGAAGTCACACGAGTGACTTCGTCAGTAAACACAACAACAAGCAGGAGAAAACTACAACATGGCTCCAAAATGTTTGTGTTTTTATGTTCTGTCCGTTTTATAATCGCCAATACGGACCTGAAAAACAAAGGAGACCGCTAGCTAGGTGATAACTTCTCACGGGGCCGCACAGTTAGTAACCTTTTTTAAAGTAAAGCAACCGGAAGGCAGTACGTTCTTTATTCTGAAAATCTCGGGAGCTTCTCTCCATTTCCGCGTCCGATTTCCTGTCTTTCCTTCCCCAAAAATGTCGAACTTGACCCGTTTCAGAGGCGTCGCGCGTAGGAAATAGAACCGGCGCGTAAAGGCCGCGACATGCTGCTCCTGAGACGCGGCCGACTCGGGCTGCTGACGGCTGCCGACGGCTCCAGTGGAAAAGGTTCTGTTGACCACAGCGGTTCCTATCAGCAGCTATGACGTGCTGCTGCAGTAACGTGCTGC